GTAACATTGTATCACTAACTCTCTCAGTGAGAACAGTAGTATAATATAACATTCATTCTTCTGCCTTGTACACCATCGTAGAGCTATAAAATGTGTGAATATTGAATAGCCATCCAACATACAGTTTGTGTATACCAAATAATAAATAGGTTGTGTTCTATTTGAAACCAGAAAATTTGAATTATCGATTCTTTTTCAATTATAGTAAAAACAATTATTTTCTCGTTTTACATCACTGTAATTAGTATTATACAATTCGATATATTGGTTAATAATTTTAACAGTGTAACTGTTGGAATAGAGAAAACTATACCTATAATTTAGAACTGAAAATGGATAGTAAATGTACGGTCTAATTAAGAAATATGTGATGGCAGTTTACATATATTCGTCTCCCAGTCTGTATATTGAAATCTGTAATATATACAAAATTAATATAAGATTATCAATCAATAACTCTATATGCCATAACCACAGTGGAATAAAAGCAACTTGTTGAAAATTTACATTCGTAGTATGTTGATTGCTATGAAAATGTTAACAAGTTTGTGTTTGAAAATTGCAATCTTCTTACTTTTATTTTATTCGTATTATCGTATTTACGTTCTGATGCGTTATTATGACACCATCCACACATAACGTGAGTAATTATTGTTCTTCGATTCACTGCTATATTTGTTGTTGAATAAGATTTAAACTATCACGAGTAATGAAACTCCACAACTGTTAATAATGTGTATTTGATCTGCAACATTTTTATTAGGCATTTACATTTCTCACAACAATTTATCTTCTCTGAACACATCTTCATAGTGATTGCAAAAGTATCTACTAAAAGCATACTGTCACTGGCGCAATTCAAAATTAGGTAAATTTATTGAATTCAACTACAATACAAGTTATTTCATTTTGGTCGCAACATTGTAGCCTATTGGCATCTCTTCTGTGTATGTTGGCATTCCAATTAAGCTGTAATAAGTAGTTGGCAGTTAGAGAATGATTGAACTGAGAGCAAACTGTCACAGTTAAAAC